CGCACATGCGCGACTGCTACTCTCGCGCATGCGCGAAGACATAGAGCAGGACACAATTTTTGTTTGGAATGGCTTCTCTAGTACGTAGTACATACAACTCAATGCAAAAGAGTGAGTTGGTTTTGTAATATTACAAATGATTGGGTTGACATTTCTTTATTGAAAATATATTTTTATAAGTAGATGTTTTGACGCGGCTAATAAGAATACAGAGCAAAAAGTAACACGTAGGTATATGTGCAAAGTTAAGAAAGCTCAACACTAATAAAATATATAGCAATTTATATCAATATCAAATGATATACAATATTATATTATATTTATGAAAGGATAAAAAATTTAGATTTTTAAGTAAAAAGAGACACGACGAAGATCGAATTTTTGAACCTTAATTATTAGTAGTAAAATATGTCAAAAAGGCACTACGGCAATGCAGTGAAAATTGAGTATGACAGAAAAAGCATGACAGTAAAATTAAATGATGTAGAAATGCGTTCATTATGAAGTAGATACATTTAAGTGGTAGTAGTAAAAATTTAAATCTCTTTGAGCAGATAAAAGAATGAATGAGGAAACAATGCCAAATTAAATTTGTAGAAGTTAGTAACAGAGTTGGCAAGGGACGCTCTAGAAAGAAGTTTATCGACAAAATTGACGATATATTGAAGATGGACCAACTTAAGAGTACCCATAACCGATGTATGCGAAAATATGTGGATGTGAATGAAGCGAGGGAGGTGTCTACCCGCCAGGGTGATGGGTGTGGGTGTGATAGTTTATGTTATGGCAGTAAAACTTCACTAAATCGATATAGGAATCAAATTTTATAATTTAAAAATGCGGACAGATGAATATTTTGTGCTTTATAACTAAGAATAAGTTAACTTACGGTGGTTTATAGATTTTCGTAGCAGTCATATTTAAACATAACTACAATTTAAGTAAATATGTATATTGAATTGACAAAGTACGGAACACTAGTTTACACAATACATATTATGTTGTACAGAATTATAGTTAAGCCTGTAAAGGCGAACATATTAATAATATTTTATATTAACTGGCATTTTTATAATACAATATACAGCCTAAAATCTGCCTTTTTAATGTAACATCCTAAAATGTGTTTAGAAAATATATATTACAATACAATATGTATGTACATATAAAAATATATATAAAATTGCAATAATGTTCTTATTTGTTCCAATAGCTTGACTTGTGATTTTTTTATATATTTTTAACTGACATACATACTTATTGCTGTTTCTAAGATTATTATAAATAGTTAAATTATCTTATTTCCGTCTTTGGTTATGGACTCATAGGGTTATACTTTTGCCGATGTCAAGTAATAAGAAATTAACCTTTATAATGTTTTGCTTCCAAAGCTTTTTCACAATATGCTGAATGCTGTTTCGTTACATTGCAAAGTTCTTGGGAGATTTTGATCACAGCATAACGCAGCGGACATTCTATGACGACATTATGTCAAGTTTTTAAGGCGCCTAAGCGGACAAAATAACTTGAGGCTTGTGTCAGCATCGGATCACTTGTTAAGCCGACGACACACAAAATCGCATCACTTAATTACGTATCAAAATCCACAACAAACTATTTTTACGTTAAAATACGAGCATCAATCCGTCAAAACTCCAAATTATTGTATTTAATTATCTATTAAAATCTTAGAAACAATACCTACTTTTATATTCTTTCCTTAGGTTAGGGAACATACATAAGTATTTTTTTTATTTGATATAACTGACGTGTGATTAATGGAAACCTTAGTTTATGGTGTATTATGTATACATAATTTATGTATATTGTATAAATATGCATATTTTAATGGCAGGAATGCTTGAATACCATCTTATTAAATATGAGCATATTTTTCTTCTAATAAAGTGAAATGCAAAGTTTCATCTTTCGTCACCATAAACGTTCGCCCATACCTGTAAATATAAAAATATTTAATATGCATATTATATAGTATATATTTTTTTTAACATACTACAACTAGATCTGCTTCACTTGTATAATCACAGATGAAAATTGTTTGTTTTATTATCTATTTGATTAGTCTTCAATGAAATACGTACTGGCATTTTGTATGTATTTTATTTTTTAATCGGTAAATGTTATTTTTTTTTACAAAAATGAAGTAAAACAGGTCTAGGATATAACCTACACCACATGAATATGAAAGTATGAATGAACATGCTTGTTATGAAAAGCTTCTTAGTTATTGTTATCTCACAACAAATACTAAGTATAATGAGTTTGATGAAATGAGATAGACATGCAACTAGCACGCTAAATCTAGTCATTAGTAATGGTGAATAAGCATTAGTGACTAATATAAGGATATAAATAAATGAAAAAATGCAAGGGCTCGATTTTATATGAAAATCGGGGACACTAGTAATTTTAATAAGTTATACTTTTTATGTCACATTTTTTCATTTCTATGCAACAATGAGTGCGGAGTGTTTTGTGCACAACATAAAAAAATTGAATTTGGAATACATACCATCAAGTTCATCCCACCAAATTTTCTTATAATGTATGTGTATGAGTACCAAGGATAGGATATAAAAGAAAAAAAAAACAAATTAAAATAATCGCCTCTCTGTTAATTCCAACACTCATTCTTTTATTGTGGTTTTGTTATTTTACAGTATAACAAGATGTTTTATGTTTTAATATTTGTTGTGAGACTACAAAACTCGAGAAAAGATGCAACGACGTCACTATATCATATCATATCATAATAAATAATAAATGCGTTTTCGAATCGATTGGAAATTTTTATTTCTCAAATATTGTTTTGCAATTATCTGGTTAATTAAATACAATTTATATATGACGTCATATCACCTTCAAAGTAATGCCCTAGTATCTCAAAATGCGTAAAATAAATAATCCCTTCTCTAATAAAATTACATATAAATAGTGAACTAAAAATAAAATATCTTTTTACAAGAAGATAATTATGTATTTGAAATCTGCATCCATGTATCGTTTATAAAATTTAGCTATTTTAAATTTATCACCTATGTAGATTTTCCGCAAGTTCGATTTCGAACTGAAATATATTATAACTTTTTTTAATTATGTATTGTTTATGAGAATAAATGCTAGGTTTTATATATTGTACTATTTTGAATTATTAATGAATTTCATCTTTTTTTTTTAATAAAAATAACTGCTTCATAGACACACTTAGGCACCTTGTGTATGAAAATTATTAGCTTTGACTATAAAACAAAGGAAAAGATTTCACTACATCCACAACCATCCATCCGATTAATCACACAATAAAATTATACATAAATTAATTAATATAAGCCTAACTAGATTTTAAGTATTAAAACTGCTCTTTGACTAGGTGGAGTATAAACCGGATTCACGAAATAACTTGGCAACTGTAATTTTAAACTATTAGATTTATCTGAGTTCGCCACGCTGTTTTAAGTACAGAAAATACTTATTTAAATTTGAAATATGAACAAGAAAATGAAAAAAAAAAACATTTTTTTAATTTTGATATAAATACTATTTTCCCCAGTATTACATTGCTAAATGATTCAGTGCCTCATGGCTTATCTGCTTTTGTCTTATTATTGTTGGCGCATGGCATTGTAGCCAGTGCCATAATAAATGAAAGAAATATTATTGGCGCCAAAAATAAAACAAAGTTAAGGGAACAGCGAGTCCGTTCAAAAGGTGCATAATATTTTATGTTACGTTTTGCATACAAAATAACTTATCCTAATAGATATGTACAAAACTTGCAAGTCTCTTCAACAGGATTTTACCCACTAAAATGAGTTATCAAACCTTAAGAGTTAATAACAATAAAATAAGTCGAAAAATTACAAATACAGTGTAAAATATTTACAACTTTAAAATATAGGACGTTATAATTTTTTTTAATTAGGTCTTCGTTCAAAATTGCTTTTTATTATAAATAGATGTTCTCTAGTGAATTGCAGTATGATAAAGAATATTATATACATTTTGAAAAAGGCTTAACCGATTATCAACTAACTGAACTCTTGATTTTTTTATTTTATAATAGAAAACAAATTGGCATTTAAGTACCTACATTTAAAGAGTTCGGTATAACTTGCAGAAGTCAAATATTATTAACATAATTTGAAACTACATGTATTCTCATCATAGGCACGAGATACAAGAGTTTCTGAACAAAACAAACCGGAGACACCGACACCTGAATAATGTTTGTTATGTATTAGATTCCATACTTGGTTTGATTATAATTTATTAATTTTTGTAAAGAGAAATAAAAAATATCTATGTAAAATTAATATGTTAGGTAGGTACATAAATAGTTGAATTTCAATAAATATGTATTAAAAATGCATATTAAGTACGTCCTTGAATATAATGAGCGTATAATGGTAAATTGGTAAATTGACCGAAAGAGGTTGTTATTGAACAGTTATACTAAAGCCAAACACTGGTTGGTTGAATATGATAAATGAATACTTTCTAAACTTAAAAATTAAGTCCCTTAGGAATATTTATTTGAATTTTGAATTTTTCGCTCTCAATTTTCAATTATTTTTTAGAGTTTTCTTGTTTATCTACTGGAGCTGGACATAATATAATATAAGGTATGTGTTTATGTGGTATTAAATTAGGTAATCGTAATGATAAAACATTAATTAAAATATTTAAGCCCGTGAATTTGCGTAAAGTGAACTATGTAGATACTGTCTCATATTTTTTAAATTAGCATTTAATTATTTTTTTCACTTTTATTTAAACCAACCAGTATTAAAGACTTAATTTTAAATTTTACAATGTTTGAAGATAACCTGTCGATGAATTAATTAATCCCCAATAACATACGAATTCGGAATGAAACGATAAAGATTATCTTCGGAATCGGATTATTCGTGCGTTGTTGTGATCTAAATTTTTAAATATAAAATTGGAACGAGGTGGGTTATGCGCCGGCGCATCGCTGGCTAACAGTAGTAGGACGTCGATAGGCCCAGTTTGCATGTGTAGGAATGAGACATACTGCTCCTGTTCGATACGTCCTTGTTCTCGCAGCGTTGCCCGTTGAATCCTTCTGGACACCTGGGGAAGTAACACAATTCTATGTTAGTGAAGGAAACCAAACCTTACTGCTTTGTAATACATTTAATTATATTTTTAAAAACCTCTTAGTTATAGTTCTAATAAAAATTGTTATGAAAACGTTTTGTACTACAAGCTTTGATATGTAAAGTAAACTATTGCTAATAATAACTATTATTTTCGGTAAAATTTAATTCGTAACACTAGATACTTACTTGCAAGCTTGCTCTTGAACTAATTCAAAATATAAACAAGTGCCTCCATTGAGGCAGTACGAAGAAGGGTCCGGCATCGGACATGGTGCACCCAACGAAGCTGAAAATAAAATAATTATTTTAAATATAAATGTATATATAATCATTAACTGAATGTATAAAGCGCAGACAATGAATGGTACATGCCCAATGACATTTAATAGGTTTATTCCGTTTTCCAAAACAAACAAAATTGTTTACTAGATATGTCCGTATAGCGGAGAAATTTGGGCGGTTTTATGAGTTATTATATATATATGGATTAGTAAGCTGAAGTGGCAATGGGCCGGCCATATAGCTCAAGGACGACTACTACTAACTAACGATGGGGAAAAAAGGTTCTCGAGTGGCAGCCTCGTACCGGTAGGCGAAGTGTAGGACGATCCCCGCTAGATGGAGTGACGACCTGGTAAGACATCAGAAGTCGATGGACGCACTGTGCTTTGTGGCATTCCTTGGGGGAGGCCTATGTCCAGCAGTGGACTTGTGAAGGGCTGTAATGATGATGATAATGATGGTAAGTATAAATTAAACTTTACATTCAAAAGTAGCATCGGAGTCGGGGATAAGGGGCTACGCCTCAATTAATCATCGAAGTCTTTGTTTAGGCCAAATAATTAACATATAACATTCAACATTTGTGTTCTCCCGCTGACTTTGTGAAGGTCACCGTCGCCCCACTCCCGTGTGGGTCGCTCGGTAGAGGGCGCGGGCACAGGACACGAGTGCGAAGTCAGTAGCTTGATAGCAGCGGCGCTGTCGATTAGCGAATTTTTGTGACCGCTACATCGGTTTCGCGCGACCCGTTTTTTAAGTTTTGGGGTCTAGAATTTGAGTATTTATGCGCGTTTAATTTGCGCTGTTTCGTGTAGACCGCCTCGAATTAGTTTGTCTAAGTTGTACGTTCGTGACAAGAGGCTTGTATTGAATTTGACTGATTAGAGTAATTTCGTTTGCAAGTAATTACGTCAATTGTATAGTGATTGCATGTTGAAGTGCATTTTGCAATATTTAACTTGCTTGTGTAACATGGAACCTTGCGCGCACGCCGAGTGGATATACGGTCTGGAATTTGACGCTCGATTCCATTTCGAGGGCGTGGCCCGGTTAATTGTTTTTGGAAGTTAATGTTTAATTGTACCGTCGCGTTAAGTGCCTTTTGTGTGTTGACTATGTAATTAGTTTGCGTGTCAGCTAGGCTGATTTTGAGTTTTAATGCGGGCGTAGTATTTAATATCGTACGAAGGAATTTAGTTTGTTGTTTGTAACGCGGAACTTTGTGACCCTAGAGAAGGTCGCGTTCGGTTCTAGAAATAATTTGTTGCTGAGTGAAAATGGAAGTGAACTTTGATATACCGTTCATTAGTCGTGCCGTGTGTTACGTTTTTGATTACGATTAACGGGGATTTAGTTGAGATTGAAGTTAATTAAATGTACAATAAAGTTGATAGACTGAAATAATGAAATGAAGGCAGAACTTTCCATGGGTGATCCACGACTTGAGGGAGCGCGCATTGGGAGAACATCAGCTCCGGTGGATTTTCTGTCCGATTAAATCGGGCCGTCAGGTCACATATCTATACACTACTACACACCACTTACATGCACCTACACCTACCTACCGCCTGACCGAGCCTTGGGGCAGTCTTAGCTTCGGAACCAGGTACGTACTATTTATTTACCTAGCATTTTATCTATTGTGTAGAATACTAAGTCTCCATAGGCCGTTGGGCCCCATTCTCTGCTGTCCGTCGATTGCACTACTGATAGGCCCTAGTCCAGTCCACCTTTGTTGGGGCAGCTCAGGGCGTGTAAAGTCTTATTATACCCTTTTTAAATATTTTATACACATACAAATTTATATGTATATGAAAATCCCATTTTTATATTAAGGAAGATAGGTAGAGACAAAATTATATAGAGATAAGTGCACAGTTAGTTTCACACTATGTAGATTAGCTGTGCTAAGTTTCATCGAAATCGGACAAATGGTTTCCGAGGAGATAGCTATATAAAAACATCGAATAGGAGAGCAACATTTGCAACGCTGCAATAAAAAAGGACAAAAGTTCGATTTGAATTGACATATTTGCGTGAAAATAACAAGATTCCGTTGATATCATACAAGAAAATAACTACAGCATAATAAAATAACCATAGAAGAACCCCTTTTATAAAAAAAAATTGTAAAAGACGAAAACCAGCTACGAGAAGTAGCGTCAAAGATGGAGATGGCTGGTATTGTGAACGTCAATCTGCCTGCCTAGAACGGGAGAGTCTATGTCCAGCAAAAATCACAGGAGAAAGAGAAGGGGAGGAGTTAGTCTTAGATAGAGAGATAGATAACACTTTATTGTACGCCAAAAAATAATATAAATATTAACAAAAAATGAGTAAAAGAAATGTGGTACAATGGGCGGTCTCTTCCAGACAACCTTGGGATGGACATGATTGCAAGAAAACAATAAAAACGTGTATAGTTTGGCGACAAAAATAACATTATTTTTATTAAAGCCATAAAATAGAAATATATTAGTCATTACTGTACTTAAGTAAGACGTTACCCAAATTATACTAAAAAGATAGAATAATAAAGAGTAATGATGAAGAAATCGCACGAGTCTAAAACTCAAAGAGGAGTAAATGTACAATGCGTTTTCTTGGTTTTAAATTCCTCAAACATTAGAAATGATAATTTATGTTACATATCACTACCTTAAAAGTTTAGGAACTTCTGGTTAGTTAATATACGCGATAAAATCCGTAAAATTAGTTTTATTTAAACCTCTGGTTCACTCACCAAATCCATTTTATATTATGATGATTACAAATCAAAGAGTCCAATTTAAATAAGAACAAAAACTTCAGTTAGAAATATTTTAAAATGGAAATTATGAAAAAAATACTGTTTTGTTTGTTTTCTAGTATAAAACTAAAGGAGAAGGAAATGTGCAATGCGTTTTTTTTAGTTTTAAATGTTTCAACATACAAAGTGATAAATTCTATTAGTTAAACAATGGCAGCATTCAATTCCCCCTGTTGGTAACTGGAAACTGTGGCTCATAAACACCAGCCTACATCTATTCTCGATTAACAATCGAAATGTAGAAGTATCGTTACCCCTTACGACTAAAATGGAACGCTGTCCTTAGGACTAAGATGGAGCCCATGTACATCTACATTTATCCTCAGTTAAGAGGCGTTGGCATCACTGCATCGTTTCCAGTAAAAAGGGTCTCCGGTTATCTACACTCACCATACGAAACACAGCAGCATTAATTTTTCAACAGCATTCCCCGGTCGAGCTGACCCATTCGTGCTACAACCTTAATATAGCTGCAGCGTGGCCTCGTCTAATATAAATAAATATGATATTATGATCTAATAATATATTCATAATATTTACGCGAATACTATACATTAACTGAAACAAATTTTACGAATTTTATCGCATTTGATTTTAACTTTCTAATTTTTTTTGTTTAGGATAAGGATGACAAACGAGCACACAGTTCACCTAATGGTAAAAGTGGATGCTGTGGCCTATAGACATCTACATTTATCCTCGATTAAGAATCAAAATGCAGATGCGTTGTCGCCCCTGAGGAGTAAGATGGATGCCTCGTTTCCAGTAAAAAGGGTCTCCGGTTCTCTACACTCACCATACGAAGCAAACGCTAGTATTCTGTGAGAGCGTGGTCCCACTCCGGTCGAGCCGACCCATTCGTGCTACAATGATGTGCGTGCTTTAATAATCGAAGTGGATGCTGTGGCCCATAGACAACTACATTCATCCTCAATTAAGAATTGCGTACCAATACAAGACTTCAAAATACTGTAAACTCGTTCTGCGTAAACTGTACCAAAAATTAATATACAAAATCCGAAAGTAGCTGGGTTAACTGTGACATCGGGATGTCACACACCTCATTCCCCCTTAGACCATGAGTGCTATAAAGCACCCGAAAAGTCGGGAATTAATAAGTTAAAATTAAACGCGAAAAATCAGTAAAGTTACTTTCATTTATTAAATGTGATATTACTAAAGTTTTGGTTAGAAACTGTGAGACTTAAATAACATTGTTTTCATTGAAAGGCATGTTGTTAACCTCAATATCATGAATGCAGTAGATACAAACGTCGCAAGCAATAAAAGCAACTGTCATCATCTGGAAATCAAACAATGCGCGAGTAGCTCACATTAAGAATCAGTTACAATGAGCTTTATTATTCATTAAAGGTAACCGATCATTCTGTTGGCCTTCATAATAGCATTGTAAGACATTCGCAGAATCCACTGTAACTGTTTCTCATATGTGTTCGCAGTAAACTGAACCCTTGCCGGGCATTAGTAAACACGTGACACATATGATAGGAAAATCGCATGTGTTAAACGCAAGATTCATTTGTAAATTGTAAATAACCTCGGACCGTAGATTTGTCGCAGCCATCTTACTCACCATATCTACCGTGATTAGTAACTTTGCAATACAGCTTATATAATTTCAAATTAGAAATTTTGTATAACCGAATTCAATATAAATTATTAAGAATAACTCAAAAACTATTGGTCAGACCTTAATCAAATTTGTATGGGACCACATGTGAAGCACCAGTTCACCCAGTAAAAAGTTATGAGGTAACGCACATAAAAAAAAACATACAGTCGAATTGAGTAGCGTCTACTTTTTGAAGTGGGTAGACAAGTCTAAACTAAACATAGGCTTCCTGCCATATAGTACCGCATAGGGAATATTGCCATAGTTGCCAAGATTGGCAGGTGGGTCGACAACCGCAGGTTTTTTATAATTTTGAGTTGTTGCCGGGAAGATGCTGCTGCCTATAGCCTGTTTCAGTTTCCATCTGTTGCCTCCTACAACACCTACGGGGCGATATGGGATAGTGGACATTCTTACATAGTGCATTATTACATTTTGCATTATAGACCTAAAAATACCTTAGGAAAAATATTGAAAAATAATTACGGAGCTACTAAAATGTCATTAAGATACGTTCCTATTTGTCAAACTTCTAATCCCATATATTTTTTATATATTATTGACAGTTGTTTCGTGTAGGGTTCGACCCGAAGCGCCTCGTTCAAACCTTGGCCTCTGCGCTACGAAGCCATCAATACAGATAATTTATTTCATATTACTTTAATGTGTTTTATAATTGAATATTATATGTAATTCTAATGGAATATTATAATTGGTCATCGATATATATGTACTACGCACTAGATTTAGCATTCCGAATATTGACTATGTTCAACTGAACTGTACTGCAATCCGTACACTAAATTAAATATTGCGTGAATTGAAGATTTGTGAATTCCATAAGATAATTATTATTACATTTTATATTAAATTCTTCTATATATTTTATATTAATACCTTATTTTATATTAAATTAAAGTCTTCACACATACGCGACTCTACTATCTCCCGCGCATGCGCGAAGACATAGAGTAGCGCACAATTTTTGTTTGGAATAGCTTCTCTAGACGTAGTATGTACATATAACTCAATGTAATTAATAGAATCAGGCGTTACTTTTCTATGTCATACTGAACAGATTGTGCTCTAACCACAATCTGTTCAGTATGACGGTTACGTCAAATGAGCGGACATTGGGTTTAGGCTCAGCAGTGGAAAATTTATGGAATAATACAAAGGAAAAGAAACTGTGTTTAAATATGAAATATATTCAATATATGAGAGGTCCCATTTTATAGTAAGCCAAGGAGCGAAGGCAGACTTAAATTAGTAGTATATCAGGCGTCACTTTGCCCGGTCGAGCCGTCCCTTTTCTTACTAAACAAACCTTCAAACCGCCAATAACAACTACAACCACAGCTTGGCTCTACCGCGAATAAAAATATAGGAAAATCATCCGCAAAACAAATGAACATCTGATTTTTTAAAACATTTATTTTAAAGCTTCAAAATAACATTAATTTGAATTTGGAATTTCAATTCGAGTGCAAGATATCGAAATTCAAACCTAGTATTAGGAATTACAAGATATATTAGCAATGAGGGCTAATAATTCTCTGCCCACCAGATGTCGCTAGTTGACACTGAGGTAAAGTTTTTTGTTACGTTATGTAATTTAATTGAGAAGTTCGTTTTTAATAAAAGTTTATCAGTTTCTAGAGTATTATATTAATAGATAAAACAATGAGTCAGTGGTTTACTCTTTCATTTTTTACTTTTTTTTTTAAATTTTGCTACTATTACAATATGTGGCTTGGTTTATTTAGTTTTAATCTTATTAATATAAAATATAGCTATAATAGTACAGAAATATATAAATAACCTTTACAAATTACTTCCCCGCTATGAAATCTGTCAAATATTATACCTCACTTTATAGTAGCGCGGCCCTGGTGGCAGAAAAAGTCATGAATGCCCTTATTACAACATAAGGTACTATGTAACTATGTCATGCTGCAACTACATGTTATGTGTGCTGCAGTCAAAGTTTACTAGGAGGTCATAATCATTATTCATATATCTGTGAGTTAATGATCTACACATGAAACCACTTCAGCATCAAATAGGCCACCCCCTATCTGCTTAAATGTATTTAGTCAAAAGATCTTTCCTGAATTTCCCATAGTTGCCTCTTATGATATTCGCGAGAGGAAATGTGATGATGTTTTTTTTTTTTACTTCCGCTACCCCACGGAATATCTCTCAACATTCCTTTGTGCGATTTCCAAAGTTTCTCAAAACATTTTGCAGCCATTAAAGATTTCGACGTGATTCCCCTTTTCAACCGAATATGCGGTAACACTGCTTAAATTTGATTTATTGCCGAGCGGCTGAAAGCTACGATAAAGACGTTTAGCCCATATCAAACATTCAAACAATATCCGTGTTCATAAATATAAGCCTATTTACATCCCACGGCTTGTTACAGGCTTCCTCTAATTTCTGTGAGATTTAGATTACGCATTACGTTTGAAATATCATACAATTTTACATTTTTTTTATTATATAATACTGCTAGTGATAAGTCTGTCTTAAAAAAAATAAGAGTACTTTTTATTGACTTTTCAATTATTAGACAAATTGAAATAAAAGTAATTTTGAAGATTTTATGGCGTTTAATTTTAACTTTATATAATTTCCGACGTTTCGGGCAGTTTACGGCATCCATGTTCACGGGAGAACTGAGATATGTTTGAAATTATGATGTCATATTTAACGAAGGTTACTTTCAAATTTTTAATTTTTTTTGGTCCGATCGACGAGTGATAAAATTTATATAATTAGTTTTATACCATGTGTAGTATTCGCATAAATATTATAATAAATAATTTAATAAGTCAAATTGTCAGAGACGTGAGTCTTCAGTGAGTGAAAATATTAAAATAAATATGTGTGTGAATATTTACCGGTGTCGGGTGGCGCAGTAACTGGGGGTAGCACGCTCACGTTGGCCGTGGAAACCGCAGGCGGGCCCACCGCCCCCTGCGCTCTGCACTCGTACGTCGCAGAGTCCTCGCGCCGGGCGTGCCTTATCACTAGCACCGAGCGCCGTCTGGAAGTTGTTGTTTTTACTGAAGCAGGGGTGACAAACGAGCACATTCACTGGGTGGTAACTGGATAACGTGGCCCACAGGCAACTACATCTATTCACGATCAAGTAACGCAGAGGTGCGAGGACTGAGACCTCAGGGATCCATTCCATCTCAGAATTTAAGGGTTAAAAGGGTTCTTATTTAATATTGCGATTACATTAAACACATCAGCATTATCCTGGTACTTCACGCTGTTATTTTGTCCGAGCGTAGTTATTCCCTGGTCTATAAACCCTATCTTTTTTTTATAGGATAGGGTGACAAACGAGCACACAGTCCACCTGATGGTAAGTGATTTCTGTGGCCCATAGACATCTACATCTATCATCAATAACAAATCAAAATGCAGATGCGTTGTCACCCATGAGGACTAAGATGGAATGCCTCTTTTCCAGTAAAAAGGGTCTCCGGTTCTCTACACTCATCATACGAAACACAGCAGCATTAAGCTGCTATTTTACGCTGGTATTCTGTGAGAGCGTGGTCCTTCCCCAGTCGGGCCGATCCATTCGTGCTACAACAATACTACTGATATAGCTGCAGCATGGCTCTACCACATTAACTATCTATATAAGAGATTTGCTAATGATGCTAATGATGAAGGATTAGAGAGAGAATTCATGAGTCCATTACGCCTTTTGGGTGTGGTAAGAAGCCACTATGAGAAATGCCAGAAAAGAAGTAATATAGCTTACTATAGGTGACAGTATGACATCACGTTTACGCTAAATGTAAAAGAAGGCAGCAGAGTCAAAGGTGTGAACCGTCTGGTAGTGTGATCGTCTATCCATCAGTCAATCATAATGATTAAAACGAATCCTGCGTAAAACCAGCCCACAACCACAACCAACCCATGTCCAGCAGTGGACTTCTAAAAGCTACGAAGAAAATTGTAAAAACGACAAAAACTGACTTGAATATAATCAGAGAAATCACGTCATTACTTAATGAGGCTTGGCAAAGCGACGGAGAACATTACACAGCATCAGTGACTAACAGCTGAGTTGATCACAATAATGATCTAGATGTGTGGTTGGATAAACATGGATCAAATGGCCAATAACCTTAATAATTAATGGCTACAGTCTGTTGTTTTATTGATGATAATATACGGGTATTTAAGAAACTGACGCGGAGTACTCTGTGAAGAGTTTTAAGAAAAAGAATTGTTTAAAGTAAACAGAGGTAATAAAAAGTGACTGTAATAAATTGCTTTTTCTTAAAGTTTGCGAATTCTGTCACAACATTAAGAACGTAGACCTGCATTCTTTCCGTACAAATTTATTCCCCTATTCTCTTCCTGGATAATGTCTCTAGAGTAATCGTTTTTGTTTATAAAAATCTATGTCTATTGAAGGCATGCCCCTGTCATTTATATTTTTCCAAAAAATTATTACTAAAATAAACATGACTTTCCAAAAACCTAAAAAAATGCCCCGTGTTTACCTCCGTAATCAGACGACTACCAAAAAAATTTGAAAACTTTTTAAGAAACAAGTGATACCTATATCTATTCTTGCTTTAAATTTTGATACCAAAAATAGTTTAATCGGCTTAGTTTTCGTGGAGAAAACAGGGGAATACGAAACGTCGATCGGTCATGGTTTTTGTAGGTAAAATCGTTCTGAGCTGCAGTTGTCCCTATCGCACTCCACCGGAGGAGATCATATATAGCGCGACGGTAATAGTTTATTCAAATGTCTATTTCTCAATTCACGCGCAGACCGACTACTCACTTAAGCTTAGTGTTGGAAGGGTAGTTACGTGGTAGAGTCATGCTTCTATATTATGCTATATATTGTTGTAGCACCAATGGGTCGGCTGGACCGGGGGGGGGGGGGGTGACAAACGAGCACACAGTCCACCTGATGGTAAGTGGTTGCGTGGCCCATAGACATCTACACCTATCTTCGATTACGAATGAATATGCAGATGCGTTGTCACCCGTGAGGACGAAGATGGAATGCCTCGTTTCCAGTAAAAAGGGTCTCCGGTTCTCTACACTCACCATACGAAACACAGCAGCGTTAAGCTGCTATTTTACTCCGGTATTCTATGAGAGCGTGGTCCTTCCCCGGTCGAGCCGACCCATTCGTGCTACAACCATAATATAGCTGCAGCATCGCTCTACCACGTATAGGTTTGGAACCCTTTTCTACTTAGACGTCCTTCTAGTCAAGTACTACCCTCTTACCTATTTTTGCCGCCTAGCAGCAACGCATTCCCTGCTGTGTACCGGTTTGAAGAGTATAGACAGCCAGTATAATAACAATTTGTTAGGCATTCCATCTTAGTCAGAGGTGACAACGCATCTATAGCATTTTCCTTTGAAATTGGTTACAGATGTTCACGCGCTGCATTAGCTACTAACCATCAAGTTTTTTTTATAGAATGAGATTGACAAACCAGCACACAGTTCACTGATGGTAAGTGGATGCTGTGGTTCATAGACACCCACACCTATCGTCGATCAACAATGAAATTACAGATGCGTCGTCACTCCTGATAACCAAGATGGAACGTCTCGTTTCCAGTAAAAAGGGTCTCCGGTTCTCTACACTCACTATTCGAAAAACACGCGCTGGTATTCTGTTAGAGCGTGGTCCTTCCCTGGCCGAGTCGTTACATCCGTGTAAGTGGGTTGTAAGCGCGTTTGTCACTGCAGTTTTATAAAAAAAGTCCCATAAATGTCCACCGTTGGACATCATAGGCCCCTCTTGTTGTAAATAGAAGCCATAGTACTCATGCCTGCCTAGTAGATGAGCTCACTTCGATACGTCTCACATTTGTTGCTGTTGCGCAAAGAGAATGTAATCACTATGCTGCTCTTCGTTGTTTCTGAGTATTTTATGTCTGGCGTGAAACTAGATGGTATTACCACTATCTGTTGGAAACCATAAGATTTCCCTGGCGTATTCCATAGCTGTATCAACTGTACAACACCCACGGCTTTAAATGCTAGGCTACCATAAGTCGTCAATCATCATCATCATCATCATTACAGCCTTTCATAAGTCCACTGCTGAACATAGGTCTCAACCAAGGAATGCCACAAAGCACGGTCCTGAGCCACGTGCATCCATCGACTTCCTGCATGTCTTACCAGGTTGTCACTCTATCTCGTGGGGGGGGGGGGTCGCCCTACACTTCGCTTACTGGTACGAGGCTGCCACTCAAGAACCTTTCTTCCCCATCGGTTGTCGGTTCTTCGAGCTATATGGCCAGCCCACTGCCACTTCAGCTTACTAATCCGTTGGGCTATGTCGGTTACTCTGGTTCTACTGCGGATATACTCATCAAGGTCCACGTCTCAGATCCGTAAGTCATCACTGGCAACACGCACTGGTTGTACAATTTAATTTTAGTAATCACATTTTAAATATTTGTAAAAAAGCTTTTAGGAATCTCGGCTTTATCTTAAGGCAGTGCAGGGATTTCCGTAATGTACTTACTATTAGAATTTTATATAATGCTCTCGTAAGAAGTCAACTTGAAACCAATGCCATTATTTGGAATCCACATGAAAGCAAATATAGTGTCATGATCGAAAAACTACAAAATAAATTTACACGTTTTTTATATTTCAAGCAGTACGGAATCTATCCTAGTTTTCCGGCTTGTTCGGGAGGCTGGAAGTCGTTAAGTCTGCGCGCGAGACGATTCGTAATGACTCTCGAAAACAGCACGTAAACGCGGCTCAGAAGGGAAATCGGTCTATAGTTCTTCAAGAGAGCGTTGTCACCTTTCTTGAAGAACAAGACTACCGCACTTCTGCTCCACGCCTCCGGTGTAATGCCACCATGGAGGACGGAATTAAAGAGCCTCTGAAGGACTTTAAGTACCGGTCTTCCACCCGCTTTCAGAAGTTCCGCTGTAATTCCATCCTCGCCTGGGGCCTTGCCGTTTTTAGGGTGCTGGAGAGCCATTCTAATCTCACACAGACTGACGTCCGGGATATCTTCGGAATAGCGTCGGGTAAGACTCGCTCTTGGATCGTTACTCACACTTGCGTGTGGCTCCAACGATGACGTGTAAAGCTGCCCATAGAACCTCTCAATCTCACTCAAAATCTCAGGTGTCCCGGAAACGATGCTGCCACACTCGGTCTTCAGCTTTGACAGTTGGCTCTTTCTGGCAGACGGATCTCTGGCAAAGACTTTGGAGCCTTGGTTCCGCTCGATCGCTTCTTCAATACAAGCTGTATTGAAGTTGCGTAAATCCCGCGGCATGCATTTGGAGATCTGTCTGTTCAGTTGCCTGTATGCTGTCAAATCTGTTGAAGAATGTAGCTTCATCTCCCTTCTAACAGCCATGAGATTGAGAGTGTGATCGGAGAGTTTTTGTGTTCTTCTGCGGCGGGTCTTGCAGAACTTAGCTCCGACCGCGTGGACAGTTTCCACGAGCTTGTTATTCATATCGTCTACTTCATTGCAGTCTTCTAGGCACTGAAAACTGTTTTGTAACTCGAGCTGAAAGGTTTCGGAACTTTGGTACAGAGCACGAGGGGGACGGAGCGTTGACTTCATTAGACGAGACCTCTCCAACTTAACGTTTAGGTTCAGTGTGCCTCTAACCATTCGGTGATCGCTACCAGTTTTCACCCTCTCGATCACGGAGACATCACTGAACAGTTGTCGTCTGGTCGTCATAATGAAGTCAATCTCATTTTTTGTGGAACCGGGGCTCGACCAGGTCCACTTCCTGTGGGGCCGCTTCTGGAAGGAAGAGTTCATCATAAAGAGTCCCTCTTTCTCCATGAAGTCGGCCAGCTGCTGGCCCCTTGGGTTCCGTTGCCCTATCCCAAAATTTCCTACTTTCAGCTCACCGTTCTCTCTTGTGCCTAGTTTTGCATTGAAGTCTCCCCTTAACATCGCATAGTGGGTTTTGGAGGAATGCATGGCTCTAGAGATATCCTCATACATTTCCTCCACCTCCCAATCGGGGTGTGCCGAGGTTGGTG